GCTTGCATCTTACTCCCTAAAAATTACTGTCTTCCTAGAACATATATTTAAAATTAATGCTGCCCACCTCTCTCCACTTTGAACTGATTTTGTCTTACTGCTACATACACATCCTTGTATATCTCATATCATGCCTCCCAGAAAAACATGATTCTAGTCTATTAGTCTCTCTCTGTCATGCAGTACCCATAGAGAAATACAAACAAACCCCATGACACCTGTACCTCTCTGATCAGGTTCCAGTGACACTCAGTTTATGTTCATTTGCATGCCAGCACTTTGCATACTTTCCTAAACATGGGTAGGCCATGTTGGCAACCTATTCTTGGAGATAAAGTACCTTAACAATGAACTACTTCTCTCAGCCCGGGTTTCCTCATCATGCTGGTGACCCCAAATCACTCCTTCAAAAAATAAGTCACCATGAATCCCTTAGCACTACAAGCATAGTCCAAGGAAGCAGACATGAAGAGATGATGTCTTGGTAGTGAGGACACCAAAGTGGAATGAGAAATCTGAGGGAAAGAAGGAGGTAAGGAAGGACGAGAGGGCTCCCAAGAATGAAACTCCCAGTGCTGAGGTGAGGCTGGAATAGAATGACTTTCACAAAGGTCATACAGCAGTAATAACTCTCACCTACTAAAGGTGGCTTTTCCCAAGCTGAATGGATGCAGACGTACATGACTGCAGCCATCTTCAGTCATAACCATCATCACTGCCTGAGGGTAATCCTAGCTACTCTTTCCTATATGGTTTCTAGGCCAATTATAGGTAGATGAAACTATTAGTGTGGTATGCAGCGTTTTACAGCCAGCCCTTGGCTCCAGTAATGTGTTTGATTCTTTGGTGCCAGCTTACCTGAAACCAACTCCATTCCAGCTAAAATGAAGCAGATTTTCCACTAACCCATATATATGACTCCCTTTCTAACCCAAATTGGAGGCATCCAAACATAACCACTGGAAAGGTGACAGTTCAGTGCATATCTAGTGTACACACATGGGCAGAGCTTCCCCTGAGGAAACCAACACAAGCATAGAGACTGGTTGCCACAGCCACAGCCTGTGGGGGGGCTCTCCGATTAAATTAGAGAATGCCATTTCACAAGAGCAAGGTGGGACAGGATGCTGGGGGAGTTGGGAGGAGCAGAGAAGCCAGGGATTTACAGCTCTCGCCTGCTCCTCACTACCTACACCTACCAATCTCCAACAGATAAAAAATGAAATGGAACGACAACAATTTGAAGGGAGAAATTTCCTATACAGTGCTCTCTTTTACGTATCACATGCCCCAGAAGAGGGGTAACACCATTATACCCATTGAGTTCTCCATTAATGGCTAAACATTCCTTAACGCAGGGAGCCAGCTGCTGAGCAAGAGAATTCTTCCCTGGTGGTGGTGCCTCCCCCTGCTCTTGCTCCTGGTCTTGGATGTGCTCCTGCCCAGGTTCCTACCCCTTCTCATGCTCAGCCTCTGCTCATGCTCCTGCTCCTGCTCCTACTGATGCTCCCGATTCTTCTCTGCTGGTGCTCCCGATTCTTCTCTGCTGGTGAGCCTGCTCCTGCTGCTGCTCAGATACTGCTCGTGCTCCTGCTCGTGCTCCTGCTCGTGCTCCTGCTCCTGCTCCTGCTCCTGCTCCTGCTCCTGCTCCTGCTTTGCTCCTGCTCCTTCTCCTACTCCTGCTCCTGCTCCTGGCCGTTGTTCTTCTCCAACTCAAGGTCATGTTTCTATCCATGTTCATGCTCAAGGGCAACTGCATGAATCTTCTTTCATGTGCTTATTAAAGCAACAAGAGTCTAGAACATTCTCAACACATGATGGTGACATGGCCAATGTAACTCCATTTTGCTTCTGGGCTGAAGTTTAAAAGTCACTTAATCTCTAAATGAACACGCTCCTCACCCCTCCCATTTAGGTAACCATAAAGCCACAAAGAAGGACAAGCTGTTAACCAGGGGAACAAACAAACAGAACAAACTGTGAGCTAAGCTAAAAGTTTAACTTCATCCTGCTTGACTCACAAACCTTTGGGAAATATTAACCTTGTGACATCCTTGAAAATTCCACAGTGAAGTAACGTGCTTCCCATAGCTACCCAAAAACGTATAAAAACTGAGTAGCTGACAATAAAACTTGCTTGTAGCCATTCTCATCCTCCCTGAGTGTTTCTCGCTATCAACTCTAAGAATGGAACCGACAAATTCTCCTCCTGGCACCACATCATGCTAAGGGAAGTCTCAGAGTCACCTAGTGTGCAACAAACTGCATATTATTTTCTTAGTGACTGCAGGGGTTTTAAGTGCAAAATTCCCAAGGGCATCCATGAACAGTGACATTTCCAAGTCCTTACAAATGCTGCTCGGCTGTCACACATGCTGACAGCAACATAGCTGCTTGCTGGGGGTAAGGGCTTCACAGAACATTCTAGATTCTGCAGACATCCCTGAAGGGTTCGTGGGATATTGCATTGTATTTTGTTTTCATGGAGGCAGAGTCTCACTGTGTAGTCCCCTTGAGCTAGTCCTCATACCCCAGAGCCCCAAGTGCTGGGATTACAGATATATGCCATCAAGCTTGGCTCCTGAAAGTATCGAGGAACAACCAGAGAAGAGGAACCTGGGGGAGATGCCCTCACTGGGGGCACAGAGTAGAAGAGAAGTCCTCAGAGGCCCCTGCTGCTGACACTCTGAAATCCCCAGTATGCCACTTCCCTGAGACTCCCACACAAGGCATCCAACAGTGACAAGCCCTTCACATCTACACCCTTGGTAAAGGGCTTAGCCAGGCAGCAAGCCTGTGCTGTTTAGCACCTGCATGTCTCAGGGCACTTTTGTGTCAGGCCACCTACTGAATTGAACAGAACCAAGTCAGTCACACGGTGATCACTCTTTCCAGCATCAGAAGGACACCACCCATACCTCCATCTCCAGGAGGATGAGAAGGAAAGACCCAGAAGAAGAGCTGGAAAGGACAGGAAGTTTGAGTGCACTGTGTACAGCACTAGCCAAACCTACAGACTGGAAACCCTACTCAGTCTAGGTGGGGAAGCAGAAATGAAGAAACAGCCATGTATGGAAGGGACCAAATATCTATGAGTTGCAGACCTGCAGTTAGTACTCACGTACCCTTTGCTTCACACAGAGGAGAGAACAGCAAAGTGAAGGCATGAAGTCCTTCCTGTGGCATCCTGTGCTCTCTGGTGTGATGGACTCCAGTCCCAGAAGACCCAGTCCTGCACTCAGGAAACAAGACTGCAAGGAAGATGAGGAAATGGAAAGAGGCCTCTCCTGACATCTGGGATAAAGACTTGGATTGCTCTGCATGACACTTCCTTTTATGTCTCTGCTGTCGAGCCATGACCAAGTTGACCCTCCAGAGTCAGTTAGGGCTATGAATTCAGCTTGAGAAGACCCCACCCTCATGGACTACAACACGGATCACAGGCATTTGTATGCTCACAATTCTTTGACCCTCTGGAGAGGATATTGGGTAGGGGGGTTCAAACTATGTGACCACATGTTCCACCAGCCTATAAAGTGAGTCGTGACCATTAGTTTTACTTGGGCATGTTTTCAGTGTGTGAGCGTGCTTCCTGAGTGGGAGGTTTACATGTGTGCATGTGTCAAGGGTTATGAATTCAAGAGGCTTGAAACTGTTAAGCCCTTGCTCTGCCTTTCAGGGGATAATGTGAAGTGACTTTGAATGACCTGATGCGAGCCATTGAGAGCGTCTCAAGGATTTTTCTTGGTCACCCTTGTTTCCTCAACATTCACAAGTCTGAGCCAATACTCAATACAAGTTTTAAAATCAGTGGGCCTCAAAACATCACCTGGAAACCGCTTAATATACACTGCATTGTGTATTTCAGCCAAGCATGTTGGGGTAAACTTTAATCGTAGCCCTTCAGAACAATGAAGCAAGTTTGAACTCAGCCTGGGCCACTTAGCACGACCCTGTCTCAAAGTGAAAATAAAAAGGGCCAGGGAAGAAGAAGCTCAGTGGTAGAACCCTTGCCCACAATACAGCAGCATCTGTGTTCAATGCCCAGTATCTCAAAGTAGTATAATTGTAATGCTTTTCTATAGCAGTTAAAATGGAAATGAACAGATCTGCAACAGGGGCCATATCTTTCTCTTTGCACAATGCACTCTGGTTATTCTTCAAATATACACTATTCCCTAAATGCTTCATATTCTGAAGTATTATACTCAGGGAAGAAGGCTAAGATACTGGGGAGGTTTCTCTCAACTCCAGTTTGTACTTAGGCCAGGAACGTTGTGAACTTCTGCACACACATACTCAGTTCGGCCAATGCTTGAGAACATCCTCAAAATACTGCAACACACACACCCAGGTCTCAGGAAGCCAGGGGTGGTTCAAGTTGCTACCTTGAATACAGGAGATGCTCCACGAAGTCTAAACAGGTAATGAAAGACTCATGTCCAGAAGTGACTCTGCATCACAGCCTCTAGAGCAGTGTGGCAGTGGAAGAGACACAGGGCGCTGGAAGAACGGCACCGCTTATAAGTACAAGGGCTTGAGAGTGAGGGTTGATGAGTGAAAAAGGCTCCAGCCTCTCACAAAAGAACGTGCAATGTGTTCTGTCCTTTCTGAACAATTCCTTGCCTGTCCATTCCTCTTACTACTCTTGTGAGCTCGACTACTTGGAAGTTTTGGAAGGAAAAACTGTCCCTCGTTCTGTGTCAGGAAGGCCTGAGAGTGGGCAGTATCTAATAACTCCACAAGTCATGCTGCTCATCTTTGACTTCTAAGAAGGCACCTCTTTCCTCCAGTGGTCAGCACCCCGCTTCCTCTGCATCAGTGTTTCAGATCACTGGGCATGGTCCTCTTTACCAGTACTTAATGTTCTATTTATTCTAAAAGAAAGTATCAGAATAAGCCATGATTTCAAAACAAAGAGATTGGTTTCTGTCTCCTTTTTCTTATTCCTGAGAAAAATGATTCAACACCCAAAGTTAAGTCAGGAAAAGTTTATTTAGTTCAGTTCAAATCGTTTCAGTCCATAATCAGCCTCCTCCAAGGTAGGGTGACATGAAAGACAGGCATTGCAGAGGGGAAACACTTCCTAGCAGGCAGGAGGTACCAAACAAGGGGCCTTAGCAGCTGCTTTCTGACCCCTTCACACTCTGTCTAAGCTACCTGGAATAGGGCAATTCCAAAGTAATCAGTGGACTCATTTAGTAATCACATACCCTTAATCCCAGCATTATACACTCTAGATTCAGGCACCTCTGAAGCAGCCCCACCTATGATCTCATGGAGCACTTGGAGGATATCTAGACACAAATGATGACAATTTCCTCACCCTCTGCCAGGATCTGTGTGGACGAGAGATCTAAGGCAAACCAATTAAGGCCAAGGGCACAGACTGGCGCTGTCCTCCCACCTGATTCCACGAACACACTGATTGCAAAGGAGACGGACCCTACATCTCCAAGGCCATTTCTATGTTATGGGAAGATAGACAGCAGCCAAGAACAATGTGTACCCTCAGAAGGAAGGCAAGCGGAAGGGAGGCGTGGGCTGTGCATCCTCCCACACACTCTCAGACACCCCAGGTGTGTAGATTTCTCATGGTTGACCATGTTGCTCACAGCAGTCAGCATCTGCCTGTCAACTGGGCATCAGTGAGTGATGTTGAGTCCCTATTCCTCACCAGAGGTCCTTGACTCTTTCCCTCTCACTTCACCAGTCTTCAGTAATCCCTGAGAAGAATCCTTGGCACAAAGAAGATGCGAATGGTGCCCCATGTAAGAGCTGCTTTCCTCCACCCACTTCCCCTCTCTCATTTGTCCCAACCCACACTCTGCCCATCTCCCCTGATCACACAACCAAGAGTTGGCTTCACAGGGCTTGTGCTGGCTTTGGGGAGCCCAGGTACACAAAGGCATCCACCAGGAACGTGGGCAGGTAGCTCAAGGGGAGGTAAAGGAGCTTGGCATCCCAGCCTGCTGAGTACCGGGTGCGAGGGTGACAGGCAGTCAGCGCATGCTCCATGCAGTCTGTCACCACGGACAGGTCTGGATTGCACTTTTGCTCCATTACTTTCAATGATTTCAGACCTGTACAGAAAGAGAAATGATCCACGTTTATTATCACCTGACACCATTCCTGCTCTAGGATCAACTTAAGGACAAAGTTGTCCCTGCCAATTCATGCCCCACACATCCAGAACCCACCTAAATCAAATCTCCCCAAACTCCCAGGAAGGGCCACACTTCTTCTCAGTCAACTGGGATCCACACTAAGCCCCCTCCACCTCTCTTTCTGAAAATATCTGGGCTGCATAAACTTTCTTCGGCATTTTGAGACAGGATTTTAATATGCAGCTCAGGCTGGCCTTCAACACAGTTTGTAGCCCAAGATGGCCGTGAACTCCCAGTAATCCTGCTGGCTCAGCCTCCAGACAGATGACATTACAGGCATGTGACAAAATGCCTCACATGGGCAGCATTAACCTGAAGGTCTCTTTTTTTTTTTTGTTTTTGTTTTTTGTTTTTTTTTTTTTTGTTTTTCTCCGGTACCGGGAACCGAACTCACGACTTTGCGCTTGCCAGGCAGGCGCTTTTGCCGCTGAGCTAAATCCCCAGCCCCTTAACCTGAAGGTCTCTTGAACACTGGAAATTATCCAAGCATGTGCAATAAGCTGCTTCCTGTGACAGAGGACCATGAGCATACACATCTCCTCTCTTTCTTAATGTTATCCTTATGACAATGAGGGCTTCAGGTGAAAGAGTGTCCGAAGTTCTATTGAGCCAGCAGCCTTAGGTGATCAGAACCCATGTGGCATCAAGTTCATGGGACTCAATGTCCTCACTTTGTGGGGAGACAGAGCATGGGGCAGACCTCATGCTACTGAGGATTTTAATAGTACTCTAAGGATTCCTGGCAGGGTTTTGCTTCTCTCCCTACTGTCCACAGCACACTTACAGGTTTCCAGAAACTTCTCGCCATAGATCTCCTTCACCTCTGAGCTGCTCTGGTCCCACGCCTTCTTAAAACTTGACATGAGTCTTTCACTACTGGTCACGTTGGTTTTGAAGAAACCAGGCTCAATAATAGCCACCTTCACCCCAAAGTAGGACAGCTCCCTCCTGCAAGGGACACAGCAGTAGGCAGGGTCTTCAACAGTCTTGGTAGGCAAAGCACAAACAAGAGATAGCACAACAATACCTTAGAGTAAGACTGGGATAGGAGGAATTTGGAAGCTTAGAATCTATAATGTGCAGAAGCTTGGATGAAAAAATGATGCTGCTGGCATTGTATCTGTGTATGTGAATATTTTTTTCAAGCATTCTGCATATACCAGCCTAGTGCTCTATTCTATCTCTTCATTGTGAAGGCACTTATTAAAACCTATCTCTTGCAGGGTATGGTGGCACACACCTGTAATCCCAGCACTCAGGAGGCTGAGACAGTAGGATGCTTGTGAGTTTGAGACTAGCCTGAGCTACAAAGTGAACTCCAAACCAGCCTGAACCGCCTAACAAGGCCCTGTCTGAAAAAAGATAAAAAGAAAAGCATCACTATCTCTTATTAGGCATGCTGCACACTGCCATAAAACAGCAGTTGAGAGACTGCGTTTGGAAAACCATAGCCTTCAGGCTCATCTAGGCCACATAGTGACACCCATCTTAAAACAAAAAGAAAAGAAAACCTAGCTACCCCTGTTTCCCTTGTATCAATGGATCTAGAGATTTTCCCATGTCTCCTCTGCCGAAATCAGGCCTCTCCTTCCCTTCTC